GCCTTGGATGTCAATTGGTCTACCGCAGAAAGAAATAGTAACCTCCTGAGGGGAAAAAAAAATCTGCCTCGTCAGTCATGTATGGATAGAGACATGTTCACCTAAGCGTGTATCACGCATGGCACATAGCTGACTTTTTTTTGTTCTTCTGACCCGTGTTTATATATAACTAGCAGCATGGCCCGGCGTTGCCCGTGCTTGATTCAAAAATCGTACGACTCATACAGCAATCGCTATCACTTGACTTAAAATATTTTTGCCCTTCCTTGCCTTTAAAGGAGTGCCCTTCGCCGATGTTGCTACATGCCTTACTTCTTGCCTATCTCACACTGCGAATTTTTTCTAAGCACTATACTAAACATTAAATCTGTTACGAAAAAAAAGAACTAAACAAAATGAACACAAAACGATCAGCTTTAAAAAGGACTCGTAACTGGAAAAACCGAATGAAAAAGAATGTTAACAACAAATACTTTTTCACACCCAACCCAGTTCTGCGGAATCAGAATCAACGTTGAGTTTAAGCAAGCGAATGAGCCAATTGGAGTAAAGTGCCATGCAGATTTAAATTTTTCCCACTTGTGATGAATGCAGCTATCGATTTTTTTGCATGCTAGCATGCTAGTTAATATTCGTGTCAGTCAGCTGTTGGCTCTCTCGCTGGCCAATAGAATCTTCCTGCCTATTCGCGGCAGCCAGCTATAGGCTCTCACTCTGGCCAGTAGAAAATGGCCGCAAACTACATGAAAACTGCCGTAGAAGCATGAAAAAATTGATTATTTCCACTATCGATGGGAGTTGGGAAATGCAAAGTCGGTCTTGGCCTTTCCACTAACTTTCATGTAAATTTTGGTGCAAATCCGTCGAAAATTGAGGCCGTGTATTCGTTACACACACACACACACACACACACACACACACACACACACACACACACACACACATCTTGCCTTTTATAGATAGAGATTATTTATAAAGGTTGAATTTCTGACCCCGTTTTCGTTACTACGTTGCCTGCTCGACCGTGTTAATACCCTTGGGAAAAGTACGAATCTTCTTCTTCTCCCCACCCCAGCTATGGGTAAATAGAAAGACAGACCGGGTTCTATAGCCTTTGATGGTTATTGGTCTACCGCAGAAAGAACTGGCAACCTACTGCTGGAAAAATCTGCCTCGTCAGTCATGTATCGAAGGATCGTCTAAGCGTGTATCACGCATGGCACATAACTGATTATGCCTTGAAAGAAACCTTTATCATAAACATCTCCCGACCAGTAGTTAATATAAAAAAATCTGCAGTCTCATCCACAATCAATGTTATTTCACATCCAATAACAATTTTTACAAACAAAATTGCTAATAGGATCGCATCTTATTTGAGTGATGGCATGTATTTTCTTGGAATTTCTCGAGCCTGATTCTTTCCAAAACATTTTACCTAAACAATCAACTTACTTCCGATATATTGATAATGCTCTATTAATATATCCCCCACCCGATACTTACTTACAAAATCTTGTAGATAAACAAAACGAAGTGGAACATACAACAGAATTTATATGCAAAATAGAAAAATATACCTTTCTTAGACATCATGTTATACCTAGTTGACAACAGCCCTTTTAATCCTTCTTTCTATTTCTAATCCCTTTTTCTACTCGTTAATCCCTTTTTAAGTCCTCTTTAATCCCTTTTAACCCAGCTTTAATCCCTCTTTGATCCTTCTTGAATACCGTTTTAATCCCTCTGATCCTTCTTTAATTCCTTTTAATCCCTCTTTAATCCCCTTTAAACCCTTTTTAATCCGTCTTTCTCTCTTTAGTCCCTTTTTAAACCCGCTTTAATCCCTCTTTAATCCTTCTTTAATCCCTTATTCATACCTCTTTCATCCCTATTTATTCCCTTTTAATCTCTCTTTAATCCCTTTTAATACTTGTGTTGCTATCACTGACATGTCAGTATTGCTTTCACTTTTTAAAACATTCTGCCACATCTTTTCCTTAATCTTATCCACGCTCTGAAATGTCCTTCCTCGATTAACCGATTAATAGTTTTGCGAAAATTCACCGGTCGCAAAAAGCGACATCAGGATTTTAGTAATTCAGATTTACGTTGTTTTTTTTATTTTTTGTGTGTGTTTTTCTTTAAAAAAAAAAAAGAAAAAAGAAAAAAAATGTACGTGACGTAAAGAATGTGGGTGCTATCGATAGATTCCAAATACCCAGAATTGCCAAAAGGTCTTTTAATAAATTTTATGTTGTCATTCGTGGATTTGCTTTGATTACCGTCCGCACGTATTCACCATTCCGCTTGTTCTGCTTACTAAAGGTCATTCGGAACGTTCATTACTTTCAACGGAATCCCGATCAAAACATCGATAGGAAAATTACAACTGGGCTTCACTAACTGAATCCTCCCCGAAAGCTATCGGACAGTCGATACATATTCGTCCTGATGTGAATACGACAGTCACAAAATACACAACCCCCACTTAACAGTGACTCATTGCCGACCGGGTAACCACAACAGAGAGTTTCTATTCACGTATACACATTAAAAACGCCTATGATTAGATACTATGTCACATGAAAGCCGTACAACTGATTATCAAGAAATTCAAAACGGTTACATGTTTTCTGGAGTTCGTAATATGTAAATGTTTTGTTAATGTCATTTATATAAATACATTGAAAATATGGAACAAAGGGATTAACGAAAATTAATTCATTAATTAAAGCATTACTGTTACATTAAGGCTTTTATATGTATAATGTAATTGATTTGCTGGTATTTTTACGATAAAACTGCATCGAAAATAAGGAAGAAAATGATTGTCAGGGTCCAGAATAAAAGCAAGTGTTACTAAGAGAATAGGGCTATTACAAAGGGTGTTTCATTAAGACGGATTATATATAAGGGTATTTCATTAAGAGGAATCAAAGTCATCAGTAAATAAATAAGTCTTATTGGTGAAAATTTATTTATTTCTCTATTAGATCATGTTATTTAAGTCATGGCAATTATGTGTGAAAAATATCGTCAAAATGTCCGCCGAATCTGAAAGGAAAAGAAATCATTAGAGGTTTAAACTTAATTCACATTTTTAAAATTGGTCCAAGTTATTGGAACACCCTTTATATACATACATACATACATACATACATACATACATATATATATATATATATATATATATATATATATATATATATATATATATATATATATATATATTGAACAATAAAAAATATTAAAAATTAAAATCTTCAGACACACTGGGTTGTAAAATATTCTTTCGTTTTTATTATTATTTCATTTAGATTCCTCGTCTAAATCAAGAGAAGAAATATTTCTGCTTGCTGGTAGCAGTGAACTACAGAAATGAATGTCTTGATGGAGAAAATGAACTTTTGTCTATAGTTTTCATTTGTTTTTTTATTTTTTTAACATGAATCTTTTAACATTCCTTGTGTTGGTAAAACAGTCTCTTTTAAGTTGTTATTTGAGATAAGAGCTCGATGGATCTATGCTGCTCTGAATTCCCCTGGTCAGTTTGACAGTTTTATTGGTCC